GATTAAGCGGGGGTGGGACGGCCCTGCTGGGGTTATGGCTGCCGCCAAAGAGAGAGGGGTTTCCCCCTCCTGGTTATACTTTATTATAAATATGTTATTTTCTGCATTAGGGTTTAGTTTTTCATGATTACAGATTTCTGCCATACGTGTTTCTCCCTTTCTAGGATTGTATCCGATGACACGGAGTGCTCCGATCGTATCCTACTCTGAGGTGATGACCACCTCCCTTAACCCCTCGCGTACTCCCCCTCCCTTGCTTGCTGCCATCTCCCCTGCACCCCCATCCTTCTTGTTACCCTGATGCCAGCCCTATTCCACTCCTCAACCGTCGCTAAAAACCCCATCCTCCCTGTTTCCTACAGTCAACCTTGGTCCATCCCTACAGCTGCCGCAAAACACCCCAACACCACCTGATATTGCTGCTAGCCCATCCATCACCCCCACTTCCTACCACCATCTAACTTCAGCACTCCTGTGCGTCCACCACACCCTAATCCCTCTTCCTGCTCCAATCGCAAACCAGCAGACTCCCTTCCAACCTGCCACCACCGCTCCCAGCCTCTTTCACCATTGTCCCCTGGCTGCCCCGCCTCGCCCTAGTAAGAAATTCGTGTTGCATTGCTTTTCCTTTCCTGTTTTGAGCCTTGATTATAACCCCGCTGTTTTGGAGTGATAAAAATCTGTTTTCGTATCGGATTTTAGGTTAACTTCGGTATCAGGGTTCCAACTCAAAGAAGTTTGTCAAACAGTATCATTGCATGGGGGTCTTTACATAAATAACACCTAATGATTTGACTAATGACAGCTAAATATAAGTAATTAGGATTTTGCATAAATTGAATTACATGTTGAACCACAAATGAAATAACTAGTTGAATAATTGTCAAAAAGTTTAAGTTGCCTATCAATTATCTGAATGCAGTGCATCGAAAAGAAGACGGCCTTTCTCACCGCAAAACTTCTTGTTTAATTCAAAAGGATTGTCCACAGAGGAATTATTTTGGAGGTTAGACAAAATTATTCTTATATATACTTATGTTAGTTTAAAAAATATAACAGAAATTAGTGTGAAACTTTAAATCAAGTGAGAAATCCAAGATTTGTTATATGAAATGTGGCCTAAAGATGTTGTGGGTAACAAACTAAAGTAAAATCTGATGATGTCATCAAATTAAACTAATAAAAGAGCAATCCTACTGGAGATCTTATAGAAATAATAATGAATTATATTTTATTTAAAAGTGAATTAGGCACGATTGACCCAAAATTATCAAATCATGCGCGGGAAACCTATTTCAATCAACGCTGTAACACTTCAGTTTGCATTAGTAGGAACATGAGGTGGAAGAGCCATATAGATTTCGTTCTTAAGATCACTATGGAAAAAAGCAAGTTTAACAACCATTTGGCAGAATAGCAATCAAGTTTAACATTATTGCTACAGGAGCAAAAGCATCCATATAGTCAATCATATATTTTTGTTTGTTGCCAAAGACAACCAAACATGTTTTGTTGCAATCCACCATCAGTTTAATTGAAAAAATCCATGTGCATCCGACGATTTTAATACTTTAAGAATACTAAACAAGCTCTCATGTATGATTATGCTGAACAACCTAAAGTCCTTCAACCATAGCCTCCTCCAACAATCGTATGTATTAGCATCTGAATAGCATGAAATCATAGAAATTAAGTCCAACGTAGTATGAAAGCCATACTAATTTGGGGTATTGATAGATTATAGAAGTTATTCTTGGAGTAGTGACTAAATTCTACGTAGCAGCTCAAGTGGCAGAGCATTTTACATGAGCTCAAGTTGTGGATCAATTTGCATAAGCTCGAATGGTAGGTTTAGCTCAAGAAGTAGAGAAGTTGGATATTTTCTTTCGTGCACAAATTTATGTTTGAGTCTTTTAAGACTATGTTTTTGTTCATCAAAATTTGAAATTACATAGATTTATAACTGAAGAACAACATTAGTAGGGAATAAAAAAAATGTTTAAAGAATACAATATGAAGAGAGATTCAAAATCTTTTAGAGCAATGATCAAAACATGCATAACATTTATGAGAAGTATTACAAAAAAAAATGCAGATTTAATAGATTGAGATAAGAATTTATGACAATCATGTGCTGGCTGATCGATAAAATAAACACAATATGCAAATCATATTAATTAGGGTGCTTATGAAAAAGATAATGATAAGCAGAGTCGATCTATAAAAAGTGAGAGGATAATCTATTAATTAAATAAACTTTCATACTCAATACTTCAACCCAACATTTAAGTAAAACTCAAGATTCTAATAAAAAATTCTAATAACGTCCAAAGGAGCAATTTTTTCATTCAATAATACTATGTTTTTAAGGTGATTCGGGACATAATGTCTGACAAATAATTCCCTTCTTTGAAGATAGTAATGAAATTTAAGTGGCATTTATTCAACCCGAAGTTGGGTCATAGTACTTTGATATGGAATAAAAATTAAATTTCAACATAAGCAACAAATTTTTGAAAAATTAATTAATATTTTAGATTTTTGCAAAGGCAAAAAAAAAAAAAAAAACAGAATCATGTATTCTTGATGTAATCACCAGTGAATATTACAAAATATTTATAATGTGTATGCAATATAACATGAATCATTTTGAATTAAATCTAAAAGTTCAGTACAGCTATCATGTGATGGAAAAGCGAGGCTCTTATTTGTCCCCATTTTGCATGTTGAGCAATCAAATGAAAGGCAAAAGGTAAATTATTTTTTTTCTTGCACAGTAAACTAGAGTTTATTAAGTGAAATAAAACAGTAAAATTAGGATGAGCCAATCATTTATTTCATCGGACAATATTTTGATTTATTGCAGTGCAAGATGATGAAACAAACTCTGAGATACAAGGAATTAAAAAAAAACGTCCAGCTTAAGGCAACATTTTATGAGTAATTTCCCCATCATCCGATTCCGCACAATAGAAACATCATGAGAAACTTAAATATCATGACGAATATTAACCAATTTTTTACTAAGATGAGATTAGGAGTGATCTTAAGGGATATGGGGACATCTTAAATTAAATGGTTAATAATTAATATACTAAAAAATTTTAATAGGTAATAGACTAACATAAAAAATTTGAATAGAAGATTTATAATATAGTCGAATATGAAGAAAATGTAAAATATTGATGATAATATTAAAAGCACTAGAATCAACAACCAAAGATGAAAAAGACAGTACATTTTTGCATTCTCAAGCCTGAGGCTGATAAGGCTTTATTTATCATCTCTTGAACCATGTCAAGTGTAATTTTAGATTTGTTCACAGTTGTTAAACAAACAACTTGATCAGCAATAATTGTTTGCTTAAAAATTAATTATTGATTCCAAGAATGGGTATGAATGTATGACGTTCTTTAATCACAATGTTAAGGCTTCTTACAATAATTACATTTTTTTTTTGCACAGTTGGCAACATGTCTATAGTCCTTGCAGCTGAAGCATTATATACATTGCAAATCTTTTCATTTCCTTTTCTCTTGGGCTGCATATCGCATTCTCATGCACATTAAAACTCATAAAAGATGAATTGTGTTGTAAGGGGTAGCTCTTCGTGAAGTAGTTTTCTCAAGTGCATATTAAGAAAAAAAAAAAGATCATGTGATGCGGGAGCAACTAAGAGATACTTTTTGCGACCATTGCTACACTGTAGCCGGTTGACCATTCCTTTATGTGGATTTTCCTTCTATTTGGAGCGGGGCCCACTCCTCTTTACCCTAAGACAATTTATATGTTATTTCTTCTGTTTTAGGTTAGTTTCTGGCTCAAATTTTTGTCAGGACAGTCGTCAGCATCTGTTTTTCTCTTCAAGGTTGTATCCAATGGTCGAGTGGTTCTCTAACTGTATCCCGCTCCCGATGAGGTGATTTATCCTTTCCCTATTGCACCCCACCGCTCCACATTGTCCTTCCCTACTACAGCCACCCCTGGGATAACAACTTTTGCGGTTTTTCACTACAGTCTTCCCATTCCAACCCTTCTTGCTCGCTAACCCATCCCGGACAACTGCCCCTTGCTGCCCAGCAGTCCCCTCACTTTGCTCGTTAGGGGTGTAAACAAGTCAAACAAAAGCAAGCTCAGGCACAACTCGTGTTCGGCTTGTTAAAAAATATCATTGTATGTGTTCGGCTTGTTTAAATTTCGAACACAAAAAGTGTGTTCACGTTCGGCTCATTTGCTTAATGAGTCGAACAAGAGTTGTTTGCGAACAAAAAATCGTTTTGGTAACCTAATCACGCAGCTGTAGGATATTAAAGGTTAGGGCAATATTTAAAGTTTTCTAGACCTCAACCAAAAGTGAACATCATTTAAATATAATTTGATATATTTTTATTCTATGATTATAAATCTTTGTGGCCATGTAGTATTGTCGGCACTATTTTTGGTGTGGGGTTTGCCCGTAAGAAGCTGTCGGCCATCGGAATTGAAATCCCGTTGCCTGCTTCGGAAGGACGTTTTTTTTAAAAATTTAGTTTTGAAAAAGATGAAGAAAAACTGACCCCATAATTTTCATAGTTAAGAGGAAAGAGCGCTTCATCTCAAATCATGTATCTATCCCGAAGGATGAACGCAAGAATTGAGAGTGAGGCTCGATCAAATAAACTAAAGAAAGTTATGACATCCGTTTGGTCTGCGAAACCAATGTATTGGCCGACAAGTTCCCCTATTTAATATAAGGAATTAAATAGGGTTTAT